CGTAGGAAACTCAAAAGTGCTACATGTTTCCTTGTAAACTCGTTTTTGTCGTATTTATACCTAGAATTAGAGGAAGCCTTCTCTTTGATAAAATTTGCTGCTGAACTTGAGCAATTTTTCATCTCAAAGAGAACAGTAAAAGATTTCATAATTTTTCAAAATTAGCTATATTCTTACGCTACTTCCAAGAATTACTGCCGGTATTTTCTAAGACTTCTTAGCTGTTCTGCAACTAGTGATGATTACCAGTCGCTTTAGATGCGGTGATGCTGTCGGATCTGGAGGGCGCGCAGGAATTCCTAGCACATCTACCTTTCCCCGGAGTAAGTAATTAGGCATTCACACAAGCCCTTAAGTATTAAGCTTAAGCACAAAAGCCCAGAAAAGGCGGAGAGTCACCGTTAGCGCCTCTGCCTATCTGCTTGCCTCGAGGAAAGACGGCAGGGTCTTTGGGAGCTCCTGCCTCGCCGCCGTCGGATCCAGCCTTAGTGCTCTCCTCCTCTCAAGCAGTTCCTTAATGGCTTTCGAAATTCGTTTCAAGTACCTTGTTCAAGCATATTGATGTTGAGACGCTTTCGCCACAACTCCCAGTCTTCTGAAAAAACAGATAATAGTCCTTCGTTGGTCCTCCTCGACGGGCTAGTCACAAGTCGTTTGGGGCTTCTCCAATCTGACGCCGTTACATACGAATTCTCTCCTTCCTCCAATACGGTGACACTTTTTCCAGCTTTCTATTGAACTGCACTTTTGCTCGAAGAAGATCTAAATCGCTGCTGAAGGACGCTACCACTGAGACGTTGGTAAGCAATACCTTCGGTTGGTGAGGATGTGGTCAATTTCCGCACGTGTCCTACCCTTGGGCAATTCCCATGTTCACTGGCGGTGTTCTTTCGGATGGCGGACAAGAGCCCAACTAGACGGTTTTCATTCTCATTTCGAAGTAATGATCCGAATCTCCCGACTTCTTCTGCTGGCATCCCTATTTTGCATTGGGGTTTCCAAATCCGCATATAAAACATCTAGTCTTGAGTCATCAGCTGATGGTGTTGGAGAATAGCAGTTGGTAATAGAGATGGCTCTTTGATTCACAGGACGGGGTCAA